ATATTATAAGCCAGTAAAATGAAATGAAATTATTTCAGATATTGAAAACATGATTAGGGCTTTGGCTCAGGTCCATCTTTATATTTGCATTTTTTTCTATCACTAAACAAACATCGTCATCACCTGAGATAAGAAGAAACTCCAGTTGTGTAAGCAGAGAGCTCTTGTATCGAGAGCTGTTTGTGAGCCCTTTATTCTGCCACTTATTTTTAATTCCACTGCTGTAAATCTCTGGTGGTTAGCATGTGAGAGCTTCTTTGTTGCTGGAGAATGAAAGGAATTTTGCAAAGAAGTGATTGTGTTCAAGGGTTTGAGTCCTTGGAGCATTTTTAATACCCGTATCGTCTATTGTCATCTACAGCTCCAGCTTCCAGAGCAGCCAGGGATTTCCGTGACTTGGGCCTTTTTTGTTTTGTTTTGTTTTTTGTTTTTTCTTATATTATGATTGATGACCTGTAAAAGACTTACTATGTTATCTCTGCTACTGTTCCAACTAAGTTTTTTTTTTTCTTTCAAATGCTAAGGTTTGAACCTCTGACCTCCGTAGTGGGCAAAATTCTGTCACTGACCTCCACCGCTAATGGAAATCTTTCCTCTTCCTGCTCTTAAAAGTTACTGAGAGGGCTGATGAGCTGGGTCAGTGGGTGAAGGTGCCTGCCTTGCGAATCTGTTGACCTCAGGTGCGCTCTGGAACCTGTAAGACTGACCTCCCGTGTAGGCTGTGGCACAGGTGCCCTACCACACGCGTCATGCACATGTGCACACACAATAGCAATTAAATCAGTAAGAGTGCTATTTCTTTACATTTCTAGACTTCATAAAAGTCAACTGGGTTCTCCCCTTTTCCTTTGTATTTAGTCTATAATAATGTTTTGGATCGAGTGTATAAAAATTTAGGCTTTAAACACAGACAGGTAGCTGGAAAAAAAAAGTATTTTGTTAGCCTTCCTCAAAAATTGTGGGTGCTCTTTGATACTATACTAAAATACTAGAGTTGTTGTAGACTTATGATAAGTTAAAGCATAGACCTCCTTGATTTATTATTGACCCTGCTTTAGTATGTCACATTAAAACACATCAATTTTTCTTGCATTTCAAATGGGATTTTACCAAATGTATATGATTTTGTAAGCATTTTGCCTCAGTCATTTAGGAAAAAGAAGGTTCACTGTTGATATAGGACTTTTAGCTATAAGGTACTTATTTAATATTTTTTTAAAAAATCACATTTGTTAATATAACACCTTGGCATTGCCAGATAAGCCTGTAAATGTTGTCAAGCTGTCAGTCTCAGAGGTAGTTACAGGATTTTCAAAATTGAGTTTTGCTTGAAAAGCTAATATTTTGTCATTAGGGAAAAAAACCCATAAAATGGTTTATCTCAAAGGAACATTCACTTTGCTTATTTCCAGTAAGAACTTCCATATTCCCAAGAATAAATAATCATAATTTACCTGCCAATTCTTTCCAATTAAAATGGTGCTCATGAAGAAAAAGCAGGCAGTTAAACTCAATTTTAAAACAGTCTCATATATGCTTCTCCTAGAGAACAGCCTTGTGAATCTGATGACTACAAACTTGGGTATGTAGTAGTTCTTTATGTAAATTTTATTTAATGATAATTCCATGGCAGAGCATTAAATAGATGTATACTCAAGAGCTAGGAGTACAACTCTTAAAAACATGCAGAACTTAAGGTTTACCTGAACCCAGTTTACTTACCAACCTGCCTGTAGCCACCCCAGCCTCCTGGGTGATCAGGGGCCTCCTGGAGTTCAAACCCAGCCTAAACCAGAGCTTCAGATAGTAAGGAGCTCCCAGGGCCAGTGCATTGCTGAGAATGCTTTCTTCAATCCCTGTCATCATGCCGTATTTCATAGGGCATTTTTCTGATTTTACTATTTTATATAGCACACTTGGTTGAAATATGGATGCCCAGGCATTAACTAGACCAACTTCCTATAAATCCCCAAAAGTGTTCTGTTTTCATTGCAGCTGATTCTGATTTCTGCAGCAGAGAGTCTTGGGTTGGTGTGAGAATTGGCCAGGGAGTGTAGGAATGCAGACGCTCTTATAGCTTGCAGTCTCCCCACTCAGGGACCAGCTCTTAAAAAGAAATGCTGGGTAGTATTTCTTCGTGAGGAGATTATACTCATAGGAATTAAACCTGTGGGATAATAAAATGTATAGATAAATATGTTTTAATATTATGGAGAGATGGCTCAGCAATTAAAAGCACTTGCTGCTGTTTCAGAGGATCAGAGTTCGCTTCCCAGCACCCACATAGCTGCTCACAACCATGTGTAACTCCTAGCTCCCTCTTATGGCCTCTTTGGGTCACTGCATATGTGTGGTGCACAACACACACAGTTGCACAAAATATTCATATCCATAGACAAAACACTGCTATACATAAAGTAAAAATAAATTTCAAAAGAAATGTGTTCTAAAAACCATATTTATTATATTATATCAGGTGATTAAGGAATTCTTAAGGAAAATTTCCTTTTTATTGTTTCACTTTTTTTTTTTTCTTCAAAGACAGGGTTTCTCTGTAGCTTTGGCGCCTGTCCTGGAACTCACTCTGTTGCCCAGGCTGGCCTTGAACTCACAGAGATCCTCCTGCCTCTACTACCCAAGTGCTGGGATTAAAGGTGTATACTACCACCACCTGTCCTGTTTCACTTTTTGATAAACTATGTGCATATTATATTTTAGTTTAAAAAATTATAGTTTGAAAAAGAATTGCTGATTTATCTGGACAGTGATGGCACACACCTTTAATCCCAGAACTCAGGAGACAGAGGCAGGCAGATCTCTAAGTGTGAGGCCAGCCTGGTCTACAGAGCAAGTTCCAGGACAGCCAGGTGACACAGAGAAACCCTGTCTGGAAAAATCAACAACAAAAAAAGAATTGCTACTTTAAATATGTTTTTTTTTCTTTTAAAAATTTGTTCAATGATATTGTGGTGGTAAATAATGTTCATCAGAAGTTCAAATCCATTTGGCACCTCAGAGTGTAACCTGATCTGAATATAGGGTGTTGGCAGATGTTATTAAATTATACCAGAACTAGGGTGTTGTAGATCCAGTGACTGGAGTCTTTGTAGAAAGATGATATCACGGTGACATAGGAAGAAGGGAACGGGCAACAGTGGAGGTAGAAGCTGAGATGATGCATTACAACCAGAGTGCCAGGAAATGCCAGCAGCTACCAAAGCTCAAAGGAGCGAGCTCCGCAGGGAAAAAACTCTGCTGACGCCTTGACTGAAGACTTCTAACCTTCTCAGTAAGTTCATAAAGACACTAGGCTATGGTCATTTGTTATGGCAGCCTGCAGAGACAACAGATATTCACAGTATTTTTAAACCTCTTTAAATCAGAAGCTATTAGCATACTTTTATTTTGTGTGTGTGTGTGTATGTGTGTGTGTGTGTGTGTGTGTGTGTGTAATATCACATACGGTGTGAGACTCTGCAATCATTTTTTAAGAGCCCTGGTAGGGTGCTAGGGAGATGGAACCCAGCTACAGAGTAGATAAGAGTGTGTACTGCTCTTGCAAGAGGACATAAATTTCATTTCTAGAACCTGTATTTCAGCCACCCGGCACTAGCTCCAGAGATATCTGACTCTGGCTGCCCATAGTGAGCAGTACTATTAGGAGGTGTGGCTTTGTTGGAGGAGGTACATCACTGGGGGTGGGCTTTGAGGTCTCAGAAGCTCAAGCCAATTCTCTTCATGCTGCCTGCCCGCCCATCTGAATGTAGAACTCTCAAGTTCCTTCTCCAGCACCATGTCTGCCTGCATGTCACCATGCTTCTCACCATGATGATAACGGACTAAACCTCTGACTGTCAGCCAGCCCCAAATAATTGTTTTCCTTTATAAGAGTTTATGGTGTCTTCACAGTAATAGAAACCCTAAGACACCTCCACAGGCCCCAACACACATATACACATACCCACATGCAGACTCCCCACACACATAATTTAAAAATAAATCTAAAAAGTAGGACCTCACTACTACATATTAAAAATAATAATGGTACTTTTATTTTAAGTTATGGAACCTAGACTACTAATCTTTGGGAATCCTCACAGTCTTGAAGAATAAAGGAAAATATTTTCCCTCTTGTGACTACTTTAAGATTATTTTTAAATTTTGGGGGATTGGCTAGACGGTTCAGAGGGTGGGCAAAAGCACTTGTAAGCCTGACAACCTGAGTTTGATCTGGACCTACACAGTGGGGGAGAGGACTGAGTCCTGCAAACATGTGTTTGCTGTTGGCATTCGGGCCCGTCTGCTCCCTACACAAATAAGTCAGTGTAACAAAATTTTAAAAACAAAGCTGTTTTTGCATATTTTAAGGCAATATAAAAAGTCATGCCAAAGTAAAAGCTTTAGTGAAAATAAATCATAAAAGTATAGATGGTGTAAGGGCTGGAGAGATGACTCAGTAGTTAAGAGCACTGGCTGCTCTTCCACAGGACCCGGATTCAGTCCCAGCACCCACATGGCAGCTCACAACTGTTCTAACTTCAGCTCCAGGGGACCTCATAACCAAAGCACATTTAAAAAAAAGAAGAAATGGTATCCCTGGTGAAACTTTAACAATATTAAATAGTTCCATCTTATAAATTAAACTTAAAGATTTTAAAAAGATGTGTTATCATTTTTGTGTAAATATTCAAGTGTGAGTGCAAGTGCTTGAGGGGTCCAGAAGAGGAGCCGTCTGAAGTGAGCGCCTGGTCCTCCGGGAGAGCAGTTGGTGCTCTGAACCACTGCCCACCTCTGTGGGCAGTGTGCTGATGTGATTTTTTTACATGCACTGCAATTGTAAATACTGAGGAGTGAATGAGAAACTAGGATGAAGTTGAAGTATGAAATTGTTACACCAGAGAAATTTGGAGTAAAGAATGGCTCTGTTAATTTTAATTGGACAAATTTAAAATAATGGCTATTAGTTTTTTCAAATTTTATTTTTTCTTATTATTTTATAGGTGTGGATGTCTTGCCTACATACATATCTGTGCGCCACTTGTGGGACTCATGTCAAACAGACGAGAAGAGGGCACTGGCTCCCCTTCGAGTTGGCATTACAGACCAGTTGTGAGCCACTGTGGAGGTGCTGAGAATTAAACCCAGGTCCTCTGGAAGAGCAGCAAGTGCTCTTAACCACTGAACATCATCTTGTGTTTCTTCACAAGCCTAAACTCTGCTTCCATTGTGGTTTAATATGTATATTTCATTCTTATAGTGTATGACTTTAAAAAGTTTAAAAATGTGAAAAATACTTTTCATAAGCCATAGTGGAGTATTTTGTTTGTTTTCTTTTTCATTTTTAACCATGCGTTTTGGTTTGTGTCCCCATGTGGGTATGTGCATGAGTGAGGTACCCTAGAGGTCAGAAGGCCTTGGTTTGGTTTGGTTTTGAGATAGGGTCTCTCTCCGTAGTCCTGCTGACCTATAATAGACCAGGCTAGCCTTGAACTCACAGAGATTCCCTTACCTCTGCCTCCAAAGTGCAGGTAGTAAAGGTGTGCACCACCATGTGTGGCCCAGAACACACTGGATATGTTGATGGAATACATATCATCTGATCATATTTCTTAAATATATAATTGTTTAAATAGTTTTTATTTATAGATTTTTATACTAAGATGTTAGCTAATAGATTGCCTCCATAGAATAGAATGTTGCCTACTATAAACTGGAGAGATTAAATTCCAAGATCTCCCTGTTTTTTCCAGCTCTGAAGTCCTAGGAGTTTTTAGCATTATTTGGACATTTCATGAAAATATTTGGCAAAATGAAATTTGGGGAAACTTCAGGATTACTTTACTGTTTTCACGTAGCTCATCTGCTGACTGTAGGAGCTTTTCGAAGCACCAGTAAAGCACAGTGGATATGTTTTTGCAGCTTTTAATGCATCTATATTTTGATCCTTACCTTTTAGAGATGGTTATGTAGTTGCAAATTCATCTAAACTCCAAACTGCAGCAGCATCTAGTCACCTCAGGGCCTGCTCCTGTCAGCCTGTGAGCACTCTGGCTCCACCTACTGTCTCAGAGTTCCCTTCTAAACTTAACCTTTGCTTATTGACTTTCCTCTGTCTTTCTCTTTTCCCTTGTGTATTATTAGTTGCTTTGTGGTCATTGTGACTACAATGCTTGACAGACATAATCTTAGGATGTAGCCTAGCTTCAGCTCACCCTGGCAGGGTCAGCGTAGAAGCCTGAGTGTGGTGGGGGCTGTTCACATTTCATGATTCGTTTCTACCAGCAAAGCCCCATCTTCTACACATTCCAGAGCCTTCCAAAGTAACATCTGCAGGAGGGGAACAATGATCAAATCATGAGCTTGTGGGGGAGCTATTCCAACTTCACATCATAGCACCGTACTTTAATATATGAGTCTTTCTTGGAAAAAAAAAATGTTAATCAATTCTGAAGTTACCAGAATGTTGCCAGCCTGACCTATAAATGAGATCATATAAAGGAACTGCTTAAACTTTTCAGATTTTTAAAAATGTGTTTTTCCTTTTGTGTGTGTGCATGTGTGTAAGAGGGTTTACTCACCCACACACGTGGGTATGCGGGCCAGAGGTAAGCTCCAGGGTTGTCCTCAGTCCCTCTCCACCTTACTGTCCTGAAACCAGACCCCTCACAGAGCCTGGCTCGCTCGAGAGCCCCTGGGATCCGCCAGTGTCAAGTCCAGCCCCAGTAGCTAGGGTTCCAGGTACACGCTACCCCACTCAGCCCTTACATGGCTCATGGGGAGCTGAGCTCAGGTCCCCGTGCTTACATAGACAATATTTCACTTACTGAGCCATCTCTCTAGCCCTTCTAGAAAAGATTGTTTAATTCATTTAAGTATATATCCAAGAAGAATTTTTTATTTAATAAATATTGTGTGGTGTATGAATGTATATTTTTATTTCCAGAAACTAAGCTGTTTTTAATACAATTTTCAAGGAATTAACTCCAAGCCCAATTAAATTTTTAGCAGAAGTAATTTAGTCTTTATTTATGTATCACTCATCCTTTAAATATTTTAAATTACAAAACACCATAACCACATAAAAATATGTGGAGAAGAAAAGGAGAAACATTATTTCACCTCAAACTCCTATTTTTATGTGGTCATTAGAGCATCCTCAGTAGCCATAGTTGCGTTCAAACACAGCTGATGAAAGTTTAACTACTACAATCAACTTATTGCCTGTTCTTTTCTCCAAATTCAGGATTAAGTTCTATACTATCTTTAACTCTTTCTTTGACAGCCAGCAGGAGTTAAACTTGTCAGTGGAGGGCACTAGAGATACATCACAGGAGGAAGGACTTTTCCTTCCTGGTATTGGTGTATTGGCCAGGCAACGTCTTGGGTACTGGTTCTTGAAGTCCAGGAGAAATTCATACCATATGCTCCTGCAAGTTCAGGAAGCTTCTCTAATACCCAGGTCTTGAAGTTAGTTCAAAGCACATAGTACCAGTAACTTTTCCCCACCCTCACAGGGCGGTCAACTTTTGCTGGCGTCTTAGAAGACAGGTTTCTAATGGGTAAGGTGTGTGTGTGTGTGTGTGTGTGTGTGAGAGAGAGAGAGAGAGAGAGAGAGAGAGAGAGAGACAGAGACAGAGAGAGACAGAGAGAGAGTGGGGGGGAAAGAGAGACAGAGAGACACAGAGAGACAGAGACATGGGGCTCGTGTATCCCAGACTGGTCTCAAATTCTGTATGCAGTAGAAGAGGACTTTGAACTTCCGATGTTTCTCCTACCTCCTGAGTGCTAAGATTATAGACACATGCCACCACACCGACTTTATGTAGTGCTGGGAATTGTGCTCAGGGCTCTGTGCGTGCTGGACAAACACTGTCAGTGGAACTCTATCCCCCCAACCTTCTGGCAGGTTTCAGTGGGTGGATTTCAGCAAGCTTGGTAGCTTGTCACTCACACAGCAGCTCTACTGTGCAGTGCACCACGGTGCCGGTCTGCATCTCAGCCCCAGGGATCCTCTTTCACTGTTCTCCCCCGGTGAGTAGGGATGGTCTCCTCGCACCTACTGTTCCTTTATTCTGCAGAGTTCTCTTTGCTTCTTACCTACTGGCTATTCCATTTTCTTCTTTTAATTAGTGATCTGTCCTTGAACTTGAGATCCTTCTATCTCTGCCTCCCAAGTGTTGGGGTTTTCAGGTATATTATATCAGGTGACTTAGCTCCAATATTTTTTATTTTTGAGATTGAGTCTCATGTAGCCTAGGCTGACCTTCAATTCACTATATACTTACCTTAAACGTCTGATCTTCATGCTTCTGAGTGCTGGAATTATAGACATGCACCACTTGGTTAGTGTGATATTGGAAATCAATTCCTAGCATCTAGTGTCTCTCTCGTGCACGATAGACAAGATCTCTCCCAGCTGAGGTACATCTCACCCCCTTCAGCAATTCTTTATTGTAAACTTTTCTTGCTCAAATTGTTTCATGGCTTACCAATTCTGGTTAGAACCTGATCAATAGCAGTTTAAAAAAGTTTTAAGTCTGCCATCATGTATATTATTTTGCTATCATTTATATAATTTCCTATTTAAAGAGCAATTTTATATCTATTTTTAAATCAACTTTTTCATTTTCTTTTGTTTCATCACTCCCTCCCCACACTTGAGCTGAGGCCCCAACCAGGTCTTGCTAGGCAAGCACTGAACCGCTGAGCTAAATTCCTAGCTCCTAAATCAGCTTTCTAAAGCATATGTCTGGAGAGTCGTCTCAGAGGCTAAGAGCACTTGTTACTCTTGCACAGGACCCAGCACCCACATGGTGCCTCTCAATCACTGTACCTCCAGTTCCAGGGGACCTGTGCCTTCTTCCGAACATCAGTGAACATCTGCAGATGCTCGTCCTTTATATAAAATGGCATAATATAATCATATAATCTGTGCACATCCTTCAATATGCACCATGATCCCTTGATTACTTATAATACCTAACACAATGCAAATATTGTGTAAGTCGTTACTGTAATTTATTGTTGAGGGAATAATGACAAGAAAAAGTCTGTGTTTAATATACACATTTAAAAATATTTCCAGTATGTAGTGGGTTGTATCCACTAATACAGAATTCACAGCTATGGAGGACCAGCAGTGTGTGGTTATACTTTACGGTAATCCAGTTGAATTGTTGAATTCAGCAACATACGCCTGTTCAGTTGAGACCAGGTTGACTAAACTTAGTACAGATTTCCAAATACTTTTGATCCTGCCAACATTTTGACTTATTAAATTACCTTTTTTCCTTGGAAACTTCCTGCAGTTTTGCCTTTCCTGCTTTATTTCCAGCTGCGTCATCACTGATTATCTTGAACTCTTGGTCCTTTCCTTTCCTCTGTTTCTTAGATTTTTATCTCATCTTTTCTCATAAGTAATGTCCTTATTTTGACTCATTACATTATCTGGTTTGACCAGAGAAATTATGTGTGCAAATATACTTTTTCAGTCCTGGATTGTTTGAGAAAGTATCTCCATTCTACTTTTTCAGTTAGCTGATGACTTATCCTGACGTTAGTAACTGTACTGACAATCATTCCCTTGAGACATGAGAACACGCAGCGCATCTCTGCCTGTCACAGCACTGTGTGCTTGTCATTGCTTTCCTGGTTTTACTGACAACTTTTGCAACTTGGTTTTGTTCTTTTGCTATTCATGTTTGAACTTTATTTTCATTACATTTTATTTATTTATCTACATGTGTGCCCATGCACATGCATCTCAGAACACATGTGGAAATCAAAAACAGTGTGAAGGAATTGCTTCTTCCACCGTATATATGGACCCCAGAAATTAGAATAACGTCATCAGGCTTGGTGACACACCTTTGCCTACTGAGAACTTTTTTTTTTTTTTTTGCTGTTCTTCAGAACTTCTTTTTTTTTTTTTAAAAAAAAAAAGAGAACAAAAATTATATAAGATCCACTGCATTGCAGAAAAATTAAATTTTAAAAATCTATTGTCTCATGTTCTGGAAACTAAGAACATTACAAGGAAAATGAAATATTACAAAAACACATAAAATGTAAACTTTCAGTTCATTGCTTTTCAATTCTATGGCCAAAATAAATAACCCAACTATTTATATTATCATTATTTATATTATGTGATGTTATAATATCAAAATTTATATTATCATTCACTTACAGAGAACCACACTTTGAGTATAGACTTCCATCTTTACCTAACTTACTGTTGTATTGCTGAGGTTTTTCTGAGATCCTTTCTTTGCTTGCTTTTAGAATTTAGAATTTTGCCTTAAGTGGGTATACTCTAAAACATTCTTAGCTTCATTTATCAGGAAGTATCTTTGTTTTATTTGATTATCTTGAGAAATTTGTATTGAATAAAAACTTTTTTGTAGTACCTTGATGATACCTTATCACAGTCTTTCCAGTGAGTTCCTTATTTAACTATTGCTAAAGACGAACTGAATGTGTTCTTAAGGTCGCTGGTTAATCTAATATTTTCTTGTGTTTCCCCCTGTAGGGAATACAGTGAGCAACCTGATTATGATCATACCTCCGATCTTTGGCGCAGTTCAGAGCATCAGAGATGGGCTGGAGAAACGGTACATTGCTGCTTACTTAGCACTCACGGGTAAGTAGACTGCTTCATCTGAGAACAGTGGTGTGCTGTAATACAGTCTTCCATACGCTAGTAAACAGTCTCAGATGAATAAATACACCAAAGGCTGTAACATATGAGAGATAATTCCATAAGTGTAATAAGAGGTCTCATATAACATCTGTCCACAGAAGAGTCTCTCTGAAAGCCTTAGGAGTTGCTAAGAAGCTGAGCAACTGTAGTGGAGCCTGAGACCTAAGGATTGTTTGGAGAGTGCACACCCACACCCAGCTGTGCTCCTGAGTTCAGGCCTATGCTAAGGGCTTGTTTGATATGCCAGAGTGTTCAGAAGGAATCACACCTATTAGAGCAGTGACGGAGAGATTTATCTGCCTTCTGACGTTGGTCATAACAGTGAACCTGAAATTTATATTTTGCTTGGCTCAAAACTCTGATCTATACCTCATTGTAGTTGGGGACTGTCCAGACTCTGTGAGGAGCTGGTGGGAGGTGCGTGCACATCTGGGCAGCCAGCATAGGTTCACCCGCTACTCAAAGGGATCCGTGTCAGCTCCAGCTCCTGTTGCTGCGGTCAGAACTGTCCCAGCTGTGGGGACTTCTCAACCACAACAGGTGTCTTGAGTCCCTCTGAAGCTTTCTCAACACATTCTGAGTAACCTCCCTGTGTCCTCTGCAGATCTATAGAGCGAGGCTCCCCCATCAGTCTTGGAGCCCTTGTTAGACTTATAATACCCCAGTCTAAGAGCACCCCTGAGTACTGAAATGTCTGCAGTGGTCACAGACTTAAGAAATATACATGTGCTTGCTTAGATTTTCTGAACAGGTTAAGGGAAGAAGAGTAACACAAAGAAAGCCATACTGACAGAGACTGAAATAACACCTAATTCTTCAATGAGAAGACAACGTCTCATGTCTAAAAGCATCAGAAACAAGCAGTGAAATATGACCTCACGAAACAGACAAAGTAAGTTGTCAGTGATTGGCCCCAGAAGAATGGAAGACTCTGTCAAAAAATTTCAAAATAGTTTAAGAAAGCTTGACACGGGACCTAGAGAGATGGTTCCATGGTATAGAACACTTGTTCCTCTTGCAGAGGACCTGACTTCAGTTCCCAGCACCCACATGGTAGCCCTCAACTATCCATAGCCCCAGTTTCAGGGGATCTGATACCCTTTCCTGACCTCTGCAGACTCTAGGCATGTATGTGGTGCACACACACACATGCAGGCAGAACACTCATACACATAAACAAACAAACAAACAAACAAAAAAACAATTTTTTAAAGGAAGCTTAACTAGCCTTAGTAAAAACAATTCAGAAATCTATTAGAGAAGTTTAAAGGAAGGATGGAAATACTACTTTAAAAATCAAGCAAAAACTATGCAGCTAAAAAAGATATGAGGAATGACATGAAACCTATAGTAGAGAATACTAGCAGTGAGTCAGTCAGACAGCGTATTTAAACATGTATAGTCAGTCAGGAGAGAAAACTAAAGAGGAATGAAAGAGGTGTAAGGGATTTATAGAATAACGTCAGAAAGCATTTATGAGTTATTTGAGTTCATGAAAGAATAGAAGAAGACAGGGAATAAAAGGTAAGAAATTATAGGGGTGGAGATATAACTCAGCTGGTAGAATGCTTGCTTAGCATGCCCCAAACTTTGACTTTTACCCCAGGCACTGTGTAAAGCAGATATGCTGACTCATGTTATCCCAGGCCCTGTGTA